GGTCAACATGACAATACATACTACAGTGTCAACATACCGGGACAATACATACTACAGGGGCAACATACCGGGACAATATATACTACAGGGTCAACATACCGGGACAATATATACTACAGGGTCAACATACCGGGAAAATAATACTACAGGGTCAACATACCGGGACAATAAATACTACAGGGTCAACATACCGGGACAATACATACTACAGGGTCACAATGATAATTCATATAATTTCTTCGGCGTGGATTGAAATATCTCCGGCATAATACCCTAGCTACGTATAACTACAGATATATCAAGAACATCTCAATACTTACACAAGTAAAACATTAATCATATTTAGTGGTAGTAATTACGTTTACATAAATGTTTAAGGTAGTTTGACTAATAATATAATAAATAAATGCATATTAATGTAATTTGAAAATAAAAATATCTTGATTGTAGCAAAATGCTACCGATGAGCTACCAGTGAGAACTGCTACCTTGCAAATTCATCGGATGGTGGGGGCAAGAAAAGGTTTGACAAGATCATCACGCTTGAACTATCACCAGACATTATACCTTAATCAATTGTACAGGATACTCTTTAAAACAGAACAGGGGAGATGCATCTGCTACTGTATTTAATCAACAACCGACTTAACCATTTAAATGTCCTCTTATGGTTTCTGAACAACAGTTATCCCTACGCCGTGTGAGTTCACAAACAATACATTCAGTTATTTTTTTAAATCGCCCATAATGATTCACATAACTCGACATGATTTGTTTCTTCAGAAAATCTTTCTTTTGATGGTGCCGTCTTCAGAGAATATTGTCTATGGATAAGACGATACAGGTCCCAGGTTTTCGTTAAGAGCCAGTCATCCACATACCCTGGCGTGTAAGGTATCTTACTCTTGTACCGTGATCCCGTGCCCAGTCTACTTCTAGTCAACAAGGGGAAGTATCGTCGGGTTAGAGAAACGCTCGCAGTCCCTGTATCGTGTTCGGGAGTATAGGCTTGGTATTATACAGATATTTAAGTTTAATGAGACCACTTCTTTGTTCCGTAGTGTCAATTTACAGCCAACATCGCCTAGTTCCCAGGCAAAAGTTCGCACACCGATAATTCCTTTTTCCGATATATGAAGCGAACATACATAGTCCAAGAGAAATTCTCACGCAAAAATGTAATTGCTCCATGTATGTATTTGAGTTGTGCATATCAAATACACATATATTAGTATGAACACTCGTGTAGGTGACAGAGTATAAATGAGTAATAAATGAAAGAACGAATACATGAATGAACGAATAAATACATGGATTACTGAATTCAATAATTACTTAAATGGTTCTGACTGTTTAACGCAGATCAATTATACATATGTATGATCAATCCTGTATTGAATTGTGAAAGAAAGAATAAATTAACGAATTGAATAAACTGATTGAATGAATCAGTAGAATGAATGAATCAATCAATCAATCAATAAAATAATTAATTAAATGATATTGACTGATGTCAGTAAACAATAGAATGAATCAGTTTGAACTCCTTGTTGACTTATCATCGTAATTCAAGCATTCAATCAAAACATATCGCATTGACATATATCACAAGTAATGCTTCAGCAAACACTGGTCTATGCTACAGACATTGGCCTATCACTGGTATTATTAAACATTTGATATAGAGCCTTGTACATGTAGAATAAGCCACTGTAAGGCGCTTTACACTACTTAGATATCCAATTATAACGATCAGTTACTGTATAATAATTTCAATTTGAAGATTTCGCATAAGCCTCATTATCAGAAGTTAACAATCGGTCCTATGCCACCTTGTTGAATGCATCCGCATGCGTGCATTTGTTAGTGTTCTGTTCTTCTGTTTGATATTGCTAGTCTTTGCTCACCTGATCATTCAGGGGGACAAAACAGGTTCATTTTTCATCCGAACCTATTAAGTGTGTGTAGGTTCATATTGAAATGTACTATTTGAATTTATCACCCTATAATTACCTTATTAGGTACACCTATACAGTCAAATCTACATCAAATTGCCAAAAGGAGGCACAGAAGTTGATGTATTTTTACAGATATGGTCACTTTATAGGGCATTAATATAAGAAGACTGCTGTGTTTGGTGAGGAAAATGTCTATTGAGCAGATTTGACTGTATTTTTTGTGTAAATGTAATAAATATTTCCCCATTGGTAATACAAGTGAATGTAGTATATTCCAAAAACGACGGAGTAGTTTATAACACTCTTGGACACAGAGACATAAAGAAATTACAAAATCCCTGTTAAAACCAGTTATGTTATTTCGATATCATGCTTGTACAATATTAATTAGATAAGTCAAAAGAAATAACAGCGTGTTGTGTAGTCGGCTGTTCAATGTCAGCTACAAACTGTGACGTTTTCCCAATACGTGTGGTATATATCACATACAAACGTTAATATTTAGCATTGGAACGGATGTTGTCAAATGTTTGAGTCTGTAAGCTAAGAAAAAGATGCGAATTGGATAAGGTTAGCATCGTCGTAATGGAACATTATGACACAAAATGTGTAATGTTCAGTCACATAATGCGACCATGACAACAAATATTGCGTTTTACATGTACATTTAGGATATATCAAGGCATGCCTCAATAGCATCACGAAATAAAATAATATTAACCCAACTAATCAACATTAACCCAACTACACAACATTAACCCAACAAAACAACAATAACCAACAAACAACATTAACCCAACAAAACAACAATAACCAACAAACAACATTAACCCAACAAAACAACATTAACCTAAAAAACAGCATTAACCCAACAAATCATCATTAACTCAATATAACAACATAAACACAACAAGACAACATTAACCCAACTAATCAACATTAACCCAACAAACAACATTACCCAACAAAACAGCATTAACCCAACAAAACAACATTAACCCACAAACAACATTACCCAACAAAACAACATTAACCCACAAACAACATTACCCAACAAACAACATTACCCAACAAACAACATTACCCAACTAACAACATTAACCCACAAACAACATTAACCCACAAACAACATTTACCCAACAAAACATTAACCCAACAAAACAACATTAACCCACAAACAACATTTACCCAACAGAACAACATTACCCAACAAACAACATTACCCAACAAAACAACATTAACCCACACACAGCATTACCCAACAAAACAACATTAACCCACAAACAACATTACCCAACAAAACAACATTAACCCACAAACAACATTACCCAACAAAACATTAACCCAACAAAACATTAACCCAACAAAACAAAATGTATCCAACAAAACAACATTAACCCCAAAAAAATACAATAACCCTACAAAACAGCATTTACCCCAAAAACAACATTAAACCAACAAAAACAAAACTTCAAACCAACAAAACAACATCTACCAAATACCTTGTAACAATATTTTTTTTAGAGAAACAATTACAAAATAATAGTTAAAAGAACATTTAGCAATTAACTATCATTAACACATTTTAATTACATTTACAAAATCAAAAAGCATTAACTAAATTATGAAATAACATAAATCAAACCATAAGATATCGTTCGCTTCATTACAAACATTACTACAGTGCACATTCAATAATTAATCAATTATCTGCAAATAAAACAACATTTACAGCATACCATATAAACCACAGGAAGGCTAATTTACTATTAACCTGATTTATCAGACATAGCTACATAATCATCACAGATCAAATCCTAATTTTGTATTTCAGAAATACTGTAACGCTTATTTAGACAGCCTTCGTGCACAGAATTCCTCCTGAGTTTGCACTGATATTCCGTTTAAATAACGTTATTGTAGTAGGATAATAAACAATGGACGACAAGGTATACCAATTATAAAAGATATCGTCGTCGGCCGAAAATGGTAGACCTCTGAATGCAACTTGTGTTGATCGACTTCGTCGTCCCTCTGGTAGGTCAGGCCTAGTGTCACGAAAGGTCCTTAATTTAATTAAGCTAATTCCTTAGTTCAGGCACAGCTGACGTTGGTGAAAGACTCCTCAACTTACAATTATCCCATAACAATCACCTATTGTTGACAATCGGTGCCACTAAATGTTCATCTCGTCAGCAAACTTAAGCGAAATAGAATCTCCAAGGTGTTTAGATAGTTAAAGTGTTACGAAGTAACTATGCTTAACTCCAGGTTTGAGTTGTTTACGCAAACATTTTCCATGTGGTTTTCTATAAATCCTTGATATCGATAACGTTCCACCAAATAATGGCCAACCTATAGCCTGTAGCGGTTGATGTTGGGATTTCGATGAGGGTCGTCTGCTAAACATTAACCCACATTGAACAAAGATGAATACGAAGTCTTGTATACTCTCTGACATGACGTGCACGGTGTTCGTAAGTTAGTTTTAAATATAAAATGTAAATTGTATAAAATTCTCGTGCACAAGCGCGTGCATGTGTAGTAAATAGTATACACCAGAGGGGGGCTTGATAGGTGCTAACTCATCCATTACTCGTATGTCATAGATGTAAGGTGAAGATAACTGTCAACGATTAAAAAACCTGACGAACGGCAAACCGTGCTTATCACAGTATCAAACATTGCATTTACAATATCACTTTGCTTTTAAATAATATAAACAGGTACAGAGTGTGTATTCATTCATAACTATATAACATATGCCTTAACTTTACAAGAAAGTTGAAATTATTGTAAAAGCGAAAAAGATATTTAAAAAATGGAACAAGAAATGTCTCTGGAGAATATAGACGCCAGCTAAGGCGTGGGAGTTATATACAACTCCAGTGGTGAAAATTTGATGGGAGCATTGAGAATTCATGTAGTTTTTACAAGATATCGCAAAACTATGCGCTCAGATTTCTTGGTCAACGGTTATCAATGGTAAACGATGTTTGTGTGTGGAAAAAGTATAATAAGGGAGAAAAGTAGGTCCCTTACCTGTACTGCAAAAGAAATCACGAGTGTCAGTCCAGTTAATGTCATTCCCATCATCTGCGGAAGAATATAAAACAAGTGATGGGAATTAATCCGACATCCTGCGTTAGCCAGACCTGCTCACCACTCGATAACTGATAGACAAATAGTTCGTCTGAAGTACGGCCTTAAAATATACATCGACTCTTCAGTCACGTGACTCCAAGTTTTCTGTTTTAAACATTGAGATACTTTCATTCATCAGATGCTGCTCAATAAATGATTATCATACAGAGCCGGGGTCTAGTCGCTCAGTGCTGTGCTATTAACTTTGGGATTACACCTAATCTGCCTCTACCACCTAGAACGTTGAGATATGTTCAGGGTTACGCTCTAACAGATCTTGACATATCGTCCGGTAATCATTTTCAGAGATACCATTGACTGTTGACAATTAAGTGATTACATCTCGTCAGAATATGGCGGGGAGGGGAGGTTTAAATCCCCACTGATATAAACAATGACATATAGTATTATTATACCCCGGCTGTAGCCAATCATAACTCCACCCACTGCCCTGCATTTGTAATGCTATGGCGCACCTTTAAAACGGCAACGACGAATCACTTTATACTGAGTAGTACAGACTCCACGTAGATGATTCCGTGTGAACAGTATTATTGCTGTTTAGAGTAAATATAAGCATATATTTATGATAAGTAATGTAAGAAAAAACAAATATTGACCTCGGTGATATTTTATATTTACCATATCTATAATTACGTTATCATATTCAAATTCAAAGTTATCACAAAATGTAATGTATTCATCCTGTTTCGATTAAATAGATAGAAATAGATTCATGAATTCTTACGCGTTAAAATACATTCAATATGGACTATGAACGTGTGCAATTAATTATCTTGGGGTATAGATTGTTGCATATATCAAACACTGCAACATTCCAATATTGTTTTAGCAGTACATATACGTCTTAGACTTTATAACTTAATCCCGAATTCGAGATGACCAGGCGTGAAGCAATTACAGCTCCTTAGTGAAGTCATTGTGAACCAAGTGTCATCACTCCTTCACACACTTGTGGTGAGGACCACAGCAGGTCGCGAACACACCTATTGTGTCACAGCACGTGTGTGTCTTGTGTCTCTAAGCACGGGAACGGCTAATATCTCATAAAAGTGCACATCTAGCTATAGTGATTCACAGCACGTTTGCGTATATAGTCTCATAACATGTGATCGGCTTGTGTCTTATAACGCGTGTTCAGGTAGTATCTCATAGCACGTGTTCGTCTTGTGTCTTATAACACGTGTTCAGGTAGGATCTCATAACACGTGATCGTCTTGTGTCTCATATCACGTGTTCAGGTAGTATCTCATAGCACGTGTTCGTCTTGTGTCTTATAACACGTGTTCAGGTAGTATCTCATAACACGTGATCGTCTTGTGTCTCATAACACGTGTTCAGGTAGTATCTCATAGCACGTGATCGTCTTGTGTCTTATAACACGTGTTCAGGTAGTATCTCATAGCACGTGTTCGTCTTGTGTCTCATAACACGTTTTCGGGTAGTATTTCATAGCACGTGTTCGTCTTGTGTCTCTTAACACTTTTTCGGGTAGTATCTCATAGCATGTGATCATCTTGTGTCTCATAACACGTTTTCGGGTAGTATCTCATAGCACGTGTTCGTCTTGTGTCTCTTAACACGTTTTCGGGTAGCATCTCATAGCATGTGATCGTCTTGTGTCTCATAACACGTATTCAGGTAGTATCTCATAGCATGTGTTCGTCTTGTGTCTCATAACACGTGTTCGTTTTGTGTCTCATAACACGTTTTCGGGTAGTATATCATAGCACGTGTTCGTCTTGTGTCTCATCAAACGTGTTCAGGTAGTATCTCATAGCACGTGTTCGTCTTGTGTCTCTTAACACGTTTTCGGGTAGTATCTCATAGCATGTGATCGTCTTGTGTCTCATAACACGTGTTCGTTTTGTGTCTCATAACACGTTTTCGGGTAGTATCTCATAGCACGTGATCGTCTTGTGTCTCATAACACGTATTCAGGTAGTATCTCATAGCACGTGTTCGTCTTGTGTCTCATAAAACGTGTTCAGGTAGTATCTCATAGCACGTGTTCGTCTTGTGTCTCTTAACACGTTTTCGGGTAGCATCTCATAGCATGTGATCGTCTTGTGTCTCATAACACGTGTTCGTCTTGTTTCTCATAACACGTGTTCAGGTAGTATATCATAGCACGTGGTCGTCTTGTGTCTCATAACACGTGTTCGTCTTGTGTCTCATAACACGTGTTCAGGTAGTATATCATAGCACGTGTTCGTCTTGTGTCTCACAACACGTGTTCGGTTAGTATCTCACGGCACGTGTTCGTCTTGTGTCTCATAGCACGTGTTCGTCTTGTGTATCATAACACGTCCTCGGTTAGTATCTCAGAGCATGTACACGTCTCGTGTCTCATATCACGTTTCCGGTTAGTATCTCCTAGCACGTGCTCGTCTTGTATCTCATAACATGTGTTCGTTTTGTGTCTAATAACACGTGTTCGGTTAGTATACCACAGCCTGTGTTCGTCTGGTGTCTCACGACACGTGTTCGATTAGTATCTCATGCATGTAACAAAACGTATTCGTCTTGTGTCTCATAACATGTGTTCGTCTTGTGTCTCATAACACGTGTTCGGTAAATATCTGATAAGACGCGTTCGTCTTGTGTCTCATAACATGTGTTCGTGTACGTCGTGTGTCTCAAAGCACGTGTACATTAAGTTTCTTGCATCGTGTCCATGTTTTGTATGATACAGCGTTCCATAGACTTAGTGTGGTACTTGCATGCTACTTGCGTATCACCACGTATGCACATATTACAATGTACATTTGTACAAAACAGTTTGACACGCGCAAGGCCCATATTCCTGGACAATTGCATAAGCATCTATAAACCAAACAATCCAGTCTCTAATTACACAACATGCAATGCTTAATTCCAATATTTTTTAATATATTTATATTTATTCTAGAATGTTAATGCATGTCGTTCTTAAAAACTTAAAAACGTCCAGCTTATATGTTGGAATGAGACATTAAGGTGCTAGTTCTGTGGGACTTAAGTGTTCGGACACACAGCTATGCTATGATAGTACGACATTATTTGTCACATATTCATAATATCCTTTTATGCTACACGGTCATAAAATATTATGAAGTTATTCAGATTCTTCGATATTACCAATATGTTGTACAGTATACATGGCTACATCTACCTCGCAGCTCCTCGCGTCTGAATAGAAGAATTGTAACCAGGATTAATAAGCGAAACACAAGATCCATTATCTTAATTCAGTATCTTTTATCTTATTACAACATAAGGCATAGTAACCACGCATGCGTGTAAGCGATATTTGTTGACACTAGGATCTGCCTCAGTTTTGAGTCTCTGAAGTTTTAACCAAGTAGAAATCACGAACTCGACCTCGTGCTACATTTTACTTATCGATTACATACATACGATCTACCAATCATCGATGCATTATATACACAGCATTACAAATATAACCAGCGCAGTCCAGGAACGAAAAGTGCGCACTAGAAAAACGCAAGCATGGGTAATTATTACGTCGATCTACAAAAAGTATGCATACCGCGAGCGACAACACATCAGGGGTTCTTCCTCATTCCTCTGAATCTACCAAGTCTAACGGCGATATGATTTATCGAATGCAGATCATGAAAAATTTCAAACTTAATTTTCCTACTTTTATCTCGACACTAGAGATACAACAGTTATATGATTGTATGATTGACTGGTACTGTGCATGAGCACACTGTTACTTGTGTGTTACGGTTGATCCCGTGATAACGGGGCAGCGATTGGCCTTATCATCATACCGATAAGTCTGACCTCCCAAACCACCTTGCCAATGCACGCGTAATTCACGCGCATTACAGGTCAAACGGCCGAGCGCGATAACTGCTATGGTGTTGTAGTTATGACGTCATCAGCACATGGTGTTTGGATTATATGATTATTACGTGTTTCTATACACATTTTCAGATATTCTTTTTCTTACTATAATATTTTGGTAAGGGGGGGGGGGGGGGAGGTAAAGAATGGGAAGGCTATGGGAAGAAGGCTGTTAGCAGCTACTGTTGTGAACACATTATCAGTTTTCTTTATCTAAAGATGCGACATAATGGTTATTACTCGTTATACGTAGCATCAAATTTCTATCAGAAGCGGTTTATTCGCAATATGAATGCCCACTACATCACAGTGACTGGAACCGCGTTACACGTGTAGCAGGTCGTGTTTTTTTTTAATTTTCTGTAATAGTGTGGGCATGCATACTGCACATGAACACTATCTAAATGAGATTACTGCGTCACGTCTTTTTGTTATATTTAAGAATTAATAACGCCATTAAAACACATATTTCAAATATTTTAAATATTTCACTTTTGAAACCGATGGGTCGAAAGACTCAAAATTATAAAGAACTGGAAAAGGCATCTAAAATGCAGTGAATAGGTATGCGTTTGTTTATCGTCTTAGTACTTGCTCGTACCATCACGTGCTGTGATCACGTTCGATATATTATATTCATTGTAAGCGGAAACGCTCTATTGACACAAAGTATTGGATGAAGAACCAAGTTCTTTATGGATTTAAAAAACAATGTTCAGGATTTGTGCTTTTATTCATGTATTGTATATTATATGTAAAACAGGAAATGTTCGTGGGTACTTTCCGTCGTAGTTTGAAGTCATTTAGATCGATTCGTGGTATAAACTTTCGTGGATATCCTATATTAACAAACAGTAGACACGTATATCATTTATATTCGTTGCATATATTTTCTTGGTCCCATAGCAACCACGAAAACCACGAATGTTCATTTCATGGTATACAGTATTGGAATTATAGATTGCTTTGTGTCCTGAGCATTAGCTTGTTGCATGGTAGAGAGGGGGAAATTACAAAAATGACATTTTTTTTTTTTACATTTACGCTGACCTGAAGCAAGGAAATGGTGGGTGGTA